ACTGACTACTGGACTGAAGACTCTACCAAAGTACTGACTCCTGGACTGAAAACTCTATCAAAGTACCGACTACTGGACTGAAGACTCTACCAAAGTACTGACTACTGGACTGAAGACTCTATCAAAGTACTGACTACTGGACTGAAGACTCTACCAAAGTACTAACTACTGGACTGAAGACTCATCGTGGATGCTTTTAATTGTCGATTCGTTTGAATGGATAAAAATACTATGGGTCAATATCCGCTGATAGTTTTGAACATAAATGCCTTTGAATGGTCGAATGTAATTTACCTAATAGTTCTGACAAATTGGTTGATTAAAACCACGTTAGCCCAGTGCCATTATTTGGCAGATAATAAAGACGGTATGCCAATTAGTACTGACTACTCATATCAAGAGATGACGTGTGATGCATGTTATTCACTCTTGTCTAAGTGATAGGACACGTACTTTTATAACGCGATAAAACTCGCTAGTCTAGTGCTAAATGTGATGAAGACTTGAAAATCCGATATTGTGTTTAATATAAACGAAATCTTTGAAAATTGTAAATTTCTAGTTTTTCGAAATGTATTTAATCTAATATTATAATTTGATTTGTGAGATGTCTATTGTGAAATAATACATTTTTTAGACTTGTTAAACAGCCAACAACACAATCAAAATACTATATGATATATGTCGCAGAGACAAAAAAACTAATTACACAATCAAAGTACTATAGGATAGATGTCACAGAGACAACAAACCGACAACACCATCAAAGTAATATAGGAGAGATGTCACAGAGACAACAAACCAACAACACCATCCAATTAATAAAGGATGGATGTCACAGAGACAACAAACCAACAACACAATCAAAGTACTATAAGATAGATGTCACAGAGACAACAAACCAACAACACAATCAAAGTAATAAAGGATAGATGTCACAGAGACAACAAACCAACAACACCATCAAAGTAATATCGGATAGATGTCACAGAGACATCAAACCATCAACACAATCAAAGTACTATAGGATAGATGTCGCAGAGACAACAAACCAACAACAACATCAAAGAAATATAGGATAGCTATCACAGAGACAACAAACCAACAACACTATCAAAGTAAAATAGGATAGATGTCACAGGGACAACAAACCAACAACATCATCAAAGTGATAAAGGATAAATGTCACAGAAACAACAAACCAACAACACCATCAAAGAAATATAGGACAAATGTCACAGAGACAACAAACCAATAAGAAAATTAAAGTAAAAGTAGAAAAGTTTTTTTTAAATAATGATTTTACAGTTTTAAATGTGAATCATCATCTCATTCTTTAATTACTTTATTTATTCTGTATAATTTTGATAATTATCGTTAAAAGTTTTCTTAATTGTCAAAAAACCGTTATGTTAAATGATTTAATATAGCAAAATATTCAATTACGCAAAGTCTTTTATCTTAGAATGATTGTTTGTTTGAAATATATATTTAACAAATACGTTATTGTGTAAATAAAAACAAAAATGGTTCAGCAGCCAACGGAGTTACGTTTAGAGTTCAATATAAAACTTTTTATATTCATTGACAACAAAATACATTTTTTTTCTGTTCATATATGATCAATTGCCGAAACAGACTATCGAAAGGATATACACTAACAAATATGTACACGTATTATAAACGATTTTCTTCAGCTTGAAATGCAATAGAATTGTATGTTTTCTTGGATATTTAACGCATGTACACGAAAATACTATTCATACAATCTTTTGTTTGCAATTGATGCAGCCAGCACTTGTAATGAATATTTAATAAACTTAGTTAGTAAGTATTTTTACTCGTGTCGCTAATAGTGATAGTAACAATATATTATTTAGTCCATTAGGAGCTCCTCTGAATTATAGCAATCGCATCACGCAATGGTGCCATACTCTGTTGTAATCATTATACACAGAGAACGTAATGGACTGTATAACGTATAATGCCAATCGATTTAACCATGTCTTGGGACAAGTCGTCTTATGTAATTTACTCTAATATTAAAGCAGAAATGAAGAATTGTTTTCTATAATTTGTTATTTTTGCCAGTTGGGTTTTTTATAACTTCAGTTTTCCTCAAAGGATATCAATATCATAATTACGCAAGCATTTGTTCACACACAAATAAAAATTAAAAAAAATAGCTAAATAAATTAATTAAAATATAGCACGAAGTAAAACAGTAAACTGGGTTAAATGCCATAGTTTATTTTCTCTTTTTTTTGTATATAGGTGGGTTATTTTTTTAAGACAAAACATTCATTAAAATTGGAGTGCTATATGGAAGTGTATTCTAAATAAACAGTAAACATGACAAATGGTAAATAAAAAAATTACTTCTCAATTTAGTGTATGAAATTACGACACAACTGACGTAACAAGCTTCTTGTGTCATATAGTAAGTAAAGCAACTTGGCGTTGCCATACAAGTAATAGAAGTTGACATATTTTTATAGTGCCTGCCCCAAGTCAGGAGCATGTAGTTCAGTGGTTGTCGTTGGTTCAAGTCTGTCATATTTGTTTTTCGTTAATTGTTTTGTTATAAATATGGCCGTTAGTTTTCTCAATTGAATTGTTTCATATTTTTCATGTCGGGCCTTTTATAGCCGACTATACTGTATGGGTTTTTCTCATTGTTGAAGTCAGTACGGTTGCCCATAATTGCTTACATCGACTTCATTTGAACTTTGATGGATAGTTATCTCATTGGCAATCATACCACATCTCCTTATTTTTATATACATGAACGTGTGCTACATAATATCAATATTCGAAAGTGATTTTTCTTACCTGTATGTTGCAATGAAAGAATATAACTTAAAGAAGAATGTCTATATATATTCCATGTATTGGAACCATTGTAAAAGGGAAATATTTTGCAAGTTTTGGAAAAAGGGATTGAGTGACCGAGAGAATTGGCTGTATTGCGGTACGCGAAGGGGAGTGATTGACCTGTTTAGTACTTATCACTTCAATCCCGTTTTCCCTTATAATTCTGCCCTGTGCAGAGGGCATGACTTTAAGGAGAGCTGGGTGCACACAAGCAGGACTATAAGGAGAGATGGGTGCATATGGCAGGAAAATTAAGACAGATGGGTCCACAGAGCAGGACAGATGCGTGCTCAGAAATGGCACAGGTGAGCTGCGCACCTCTATTTTGGGCTTGATAGGCCACTGTCACTTGAAGTTTTGAACTCGAGGCCAGAAGATATTTCTTTGTTTGAGCTATCCTTGGCGTCTGTTATGTCGTTAAATTATTCAGTACAACAGGTCCACATTCATTAAACAGAAAGCGACAGGTAATTACTAAAATGAAATAAGGCTGTCATATGATTGGAAACAAAATAAAGACTTTGCATTTAAGTTTTTCATGTTTCATGTGGATGCACGAATGTTCCATTTACTATGTCACATATGCTATATCAATATAAAGATCTGTTTATAATGGTCAAATGAATACTAGATATTGGTCAAATGAATACCAGATTAAAGCATACTAGCCTTAACAGATTTACATTTGAATTAAACTTTAAGATACACAAGTAGTTCGGGTTCAAAAATGGATTTAGAACACACGAAGACAAGTAATTGTTCTTTAACAGACCATTTAAGTAAAAAGGTCAGTTAAAAAACAGCCAAATCGAATGTACATATATGATTTGACGCAAAGCTTTCCGATTAACGTTTAATTTAGGTCAAAATTATGAAAAGAAAAATTGTTCCGAGCAATTGTTGGTCTTCAACAACACAAGTTATTTAAAAACGTTTATAATAAGTAATGTGAAAACCACTGACGTTTCAATATCGCTTAAATACAAAGATATCAGCTGTGTTACTAAAATATATTAATTGTATAAAATAAAGTTCCAGCTTGAAGGCATGCTATTTAATCCCTGGCAAAATAAACGACCAGTTTCGATACGTCTTCACTTCGGGAAACCTCAATTGAACATTGAACAAAATGTTCACATTTTTTATATTTCAATTTTCTTAATGTGAACCATAGTTTCTTTGGATTAAAGACTCAATGGATGTCGTACATTGTTTCAAGAATTAATTTAGATAAAGTCTTCAAATATTCAAAGTATATAGGACGAATAATATATATATATTATCCCATACGGTATATAAAAAAATTTGTCAGCATAAAAATATAATTATAACACTGTTGGGTTTAATTTTCTATATATATATATAGTTTGAAGCCGGATTCTCTATATTGAGATACGATCGTAATTATGATTCCAAATAATATTTCTGTTTGATTCACTTTCTAAGTTTCCCCAGACATTCCATGTACTATTTGTTTATATACATTGAATAATATATACACAAAGCATGCATAGCAAATGAAATAATTCACACACAATTAGTTCATTATTTTCTTATATCACACAATTTGCAGTCCACGGTATAGAATAATGGTCACATAGACTTCTGTCAAGCATTGTAGTCCACGGTATAGAATATATAATGGTCACCTGGACTTATGTTAAGCATTGCAGTCCACGCTATAGAATAATGGTCACTTGGACTTCTGTTAAGCATTGTGGTCCATGCTATAGAAAAATGGTCAATTGGACTTGCGTTAAGCATATTGCAGTCCACGCTATAGAATGGTCACTTTCTGTCAAGCAGAAACACACATGATAAAGAAGGATGTCCATTTTGCTGTGCGGGATGTATAAATATACAGCCACGCCCGGTCGAAATTTTAGAAGTTTAACCCGAAATTTTTCGACCCGAATCCCGGACGACAAACTTTGTAATGCCTTCCAATTAGATTTATTGTCAAATTGCTCGATTCCAGAATATGCATGAAATATCATCCTCTGGACATCAATATAAGGAAAATATAAATACGGTAGACACATTCATTTGATATACATTGAAGATAGAAGAAAGAAAACCTCAGTATACTTTGCAGAAAAATAAATGTTTAACTTATCACTACTTACCTAATACTTGTATAATCCATGGTATGATAATCCACAGGAAGTGTCTTATTTCACATATCACATCCATCTGTCAATTAAATCTTCCAAAGTAATATTATCATTATATAATCGTATTTCTTCACATCTATATATACTTGAAAATTTCCTGTACATTTATCGTTGATATATTACCATTCTAATTCAGTATTAGATTTCCGGATACACTTTATTTGCAAAGTTCATGAAAAGAAAATAACAATTACTAAATATTTGATCACTTTATAATTAGGACCGTTACAGATCATTTGTTATATCCAATAAGATGATTTTCAATCTAGTATCCCATGTGAGAAATATAATTAGATGATTATTAACAAGTTATTATGTTTGATAACTTCTCGTAACACATGACCGTTAAAATTTCTATATCAGATACATTAAGACGATATGCTCAGATGATTTAATTTATTGAGTAACTGCGATAAACTCTAATCACACCAGAATTCCTATATTCCTGTTGTCTCATTTTCACAACGATGTATTGAAGTGGACGATTCCTCGTTAGATAGCAGATACGGCAGCACACAAATAATTAAAAACAGCCAAGTCAATGTTTAGTGACTGTGCATGCCGATATTCCATTTAGAAATGGCAGAGAAATAGACTATGTGGATGTTTAATTTACTTATGTATATTGTTTATGACAACGTTTTCCGTTAATAACGCCCGTAGTCGTATTTATGGCTTCTACTATAGTAGTTAGTTATCGTTCTGTTACTAAACTTTCATGTAGTCTACATATTAGAAACTTATTAGATACGATTGATGAATGAAAATAGTTATTCAATTTTTCGTTAGTCATGATATTGCAAATATTTTTATTTTCTTCTTCTCTCAGAACATATATTTTAAGGGGAAGAACAGCAATAAAAGGGCTGTTCCTTTGCTTTTTGTGTGTTTTTTTGCTGTGCATTGTTATTGTTATTATTATTTATTTATATATTTATTCTGTTTTTTTTATCTTGCTAATTCTGTTTTATTCACGCTTGCTTGTTTTCTATCATTCTAGAACAAGAGACAAATTCACCCAGACATTGGTCTTAAATATTTTTATTGGCATAAGTAATACGTTAGTGGATTAGGCATCTTCATTAACACAATTGTTTCAGAAGTTACTCGACAGTTGTCATTTATGAAGCAGGAGCTACTGACCCTTCCAGACCATCATAAAGTGTCTACAAAAGTAACTCTACAGTTGTCATTAATGAAGCAGAGCTACTAACCCTTCAATTTTCTACATAAGGAAATGCCTGTACCGAGTCAGGAACATGACAGTTGTTTTCCATACGTTTCATGTGTTTGAGCTTTTGATTTTGCCATTTGATAAGGGACTTTCCGATTTTGATGTTCCTTGGAGTTCGGTATTTTTGTTATTTTACTATTTTCCAGACCATCAGTCAGTGTCTTCAGAAGTAACGCTACAGTTGTTATTAATAAAGCAGAAGCTACTGACCCTTTCGGAGCACCAGATATTCCAGAAGTAACGCGACAGTTGTCATTAATGAAGCAGGAGCTACTGACCCTTCCAGAGCACCAGTGATTCTAGGAGTACCGCGACATTTGTCATAATTGAAGCAGGAGCTACTGACCCTTTCAGAGCACCAGTGATTCTAGGAGTACCGCGACATTTGTCATTAATGAAGCATGAACTACTGACCCTTCTTCCAGAGCACCATTATTTTCAGGATTAACACGATAGTTGTCATTAATGAAGCGAGAAGTACTGAACTTTCCAGAGCACCAGTATTTTCAGGATTAACACGACAGTTGTCATTAATGATGCAGGAACTACTGACTCTTTCAGAGCACCAGTGATTCTAGGAGTACCACTACAGTTGTCATTAATGAAGCAGGTGCTACTGACCCTTCCAGAGCACCAGTGATTCTAGGAGTACCACGACAGTTGTCATAAATGAAGCAGGAGCTACTGACCCTTCCAGAGCACCAGTGATTCTAGGAGTACAGCGACAGTTGTCATACATGAAGCAGGAGCTATTGATCCTTCGAGAGCACCAGTATTTTCAGGATTAACACGACAGTTATACTTGATGAGGCAAAAAGTAATGAACTTTCCAGAGCACCAGTGATTCCAGGAGTACCGCGACAGTTGTCATTAATGAAGCAAGACGTACTGAACTTTCCATAGCACCAATGTTTTCAATTCTAATAGAGTGCCTGCAAACCAAAACGCGATATTCCTGTCGACTTTATTATGTTTTATACTGACAAGAAATATACTATTCTGTTTATGATCATAATTGATTGTATGCAGTTATACATTTGGTTGTGGGAATTGTTTGGTTGTTGTCTAATTGGTGTATACTGTATCTCACATCTCGATTTGTTGGTAGGTTAATAAAGGCAGCTGGTAAGTACGACTTCACATATTAATCCAAAAACAATAGTTAACTACAGAATGCAGTACGTAATGTAAACAATGTAATTTGTATGTTATCAATAAATATTATACTACCGATTGCATGCTCATTGTCAACCCTCCGTATTTGTTTGTTTTAAATATCTATGTTTGTTTAGCATTGTGTTTTACGTATAGTACTGTGTATATATCTACGTTTGTGTTTTACGTATAGTACTGTGTATGTATCTACGTTTGTGTTTTACGTATAGTACTGTGTATATATCTACGTTTGTATTTTACGTATAGTACTGTGTATATATCTACGTTTGTATTTTACGTATAGTACTGTGTATAAATCTACGTTTGTGTTTTACGTATAGTACTGTGTATATATCTACGTTTGTATTTTACGTATAGTACTGTGTATGTATCTACGTTTGTATTTTACGTATAGTACTGTGTATGTATCTACGTTTGTATTTTACGTATAGCACTGTGTATATATCTACGTTTGTATTTTACGTATATTACTGTGTATGTATCTACGTTTGTATTTTACGTATAGTACTGTGTATATATCTACGTTTGTATTTTACGTATAGTACTGTGTATGTATCTACGTTTGTATTTTACGTATAATACTGTGTATGTATCTACGTTTGTATTTTACGTATAGTACTGTGTTAGTATCTACGTTTGTATTTTACGTATAGTACTGTGTATATATCTACGTTTGTATTTTACGTACGGTACTGTTTACATTTTTATTTTACCTATGGTACTGCGTACATGTCTACGTTTGTATTTTACGTACCTGTACTGTTTACATTTCTACGTTTGTATTTAACGTACGGTACTGCGTACAGGTATGTACGTTTGTATTTTACGTATGGTACTGTGTACATATCTACGTTTGTGTTTTACCTATGGTACTGCGAAAATGTCTACGTTTGCATTTTACGTATAGTAAAGTGTATATATCCACGTTTGTATTTTACGTACCGTACTATGTTTGTTTATTCTGTATTGGCTAGATGTATAAGGGAGGGTTGAGATCTAACAAAACATGTTTAACCCCGCCGCATTTTTGCGCCTGTCCCAAGGAATCTCTAGTCTTTTTTAATTTTGGCTCATCTATATGTTTCGGAGTTTAGTGTGATGTCCATTTTTTCTGAACTAGTACACAATTTTGTTAAGGGGAAACTGATGCCCGCCTCCGGGTGTGGGATTTTCTCGCTGTTGTGTTGAAGACCCATTGGTGGCCTTGGGCTGTTTTCTGCTCTTTGGTCGGGTTGTTGTCTCTTTGACACATTTCCCGTTTCCATTTTCAATTTTATATCAACGTTTGTATTTTCCATATGGTACTCTGTACATATTTACGTTTGCATTTTACGTATGGTAATGTGTACATATCTACATTATGATTTACGTATGGTACTGTGTACATATCTACGTTTGTATTTTACGAATGGTAATGTGTATATATTTTCATTTGTATTGTATGTTTGGTACTTTGTAAATTTCTACGTTTGTAGTTTTTACGTGCGGTTCTATGTACATATCTACGTTTGGCGGCCAGTTTTTGTTGGTGGAGGAAGCCGGAGTGCCCGGAGAAAACCACCGACCTTCGATAGGAAAACTGACAATCCTAGTAAATTAAGATTGGAGTCGAGTGCACCCGCACGAGCGGGGTTCGAACTCACAACCTCAGTGTTGACTGGCTAGTGATTACAGTAGTAACTACTTAAACCACTCGGCCACCGAGGCCCCCATATAATTTTGTGTTTTATGTATAGTACAGTATACATATCTGCGTTTGTGTTTTACGTATGTTACTATGTACATGTCTAGGTTTGTGTTCTACGCATGGTACTGTATACATATCAAAGTTTGTCTTTTACGTATGGTACTGTGTACATTTACGTAACTAGAGAAAACGATTAAAGCTCCCCCTAATATATTGAATTATAACATGTAATCACGAATTTCAATTTAAATGCACGTATTGACTTTAACAAGACCATTGTTCCATTAAAATGATGTGATCATACAGGTATGATCGGTAATTAAGATATTGAGGTATGCAATAACCCAATTTCTGTATGTCCACGCTTCAAATTTGAATTTGAGTTCGGCGTTTTGAAAAATGTATTCATTCTCTGTGAACATGGAACAAAGACGAATATCGAAGGCTCAAATTAAAGATGGCAAATTATCGGGATGCGGTCATCAGGGATTTACTTTAAAGCTATTGGACATCAAATGGGCTATCCCTATACTGCAGTCAGCCGGCTTGTGAGAAACAGATCCAAACCAACTATGAGAAGAACTTGCCAAGATTCGGTAGACCACCCGTATCAACGCAGCATGAAGACAGTGCACTACATCGCTTTGTTAGACGAATGTCATTTGCAACTAGTCCTGTTCTAAAATACAATGGTTGCCTAACAGACGTCTATCAACCAGAGCAGTGAGGAACTGGTTGAAATCAGCAGGATTGAAGTCAAGAAGAGTAATCAGACGTCCCATTTTATCTAATTGACATCAACGATTGTGTTTGGCTTGGTGTTTACTGCGACATGGTTGGAACCTATAGACATGGCTCAGGATCCATTGGTCGGACGAGTGACGGTTTCTGCTGAATGCAAGAGATGGACGAATAAGAGTTTTGAAGACAGAAAATTAGGCACATTCCCCTAGAAACATCCAACCAACTGTCCCTTATGGTGGAGGCTCTGTATTCACATGGGGGGGAGGGCATCTCTCATGATTGCAAGTTGGACTTTGTGACCATACGAGGAAACCTAACAAGTGATCAATATTTCAGAGAAGTTCTTTAACCAGTTGTTGTCCCCCCTTATTTTTTTAAAACCATCAACCAGCCGCAAGACCTGCGTTCATTAAGCCACAACCGCCCA